TTGGTCTACTGAAGAACCTAGGTGAAGCAGCTGTTGCGTCAAGTCTACAAACAGTGTTTTTTTTGGGTTGTAGAAATTGTAATGTAATTGCTTGAAGAACTGACATAGCATCAGTCAAAAAGACCCATCTGCTATATTTGTTGTGCTGTTGTCCATCCAGGAAAGAACTTGCAACCAGAAGCGCATCTGCCTCTGCTCTGTAATTGGAGGAATATGAACCTGTTGGTACAGCCTGGTTGATTTTTAAAACCATTTGGGCATTCTACAAGATCCTCCTCCTCCGTCTCTTACTGCTCTCTTGGCTGAACCATCTGTATACACTCGAATCCAACTCTGGTGTGGGTAAAGTCTATTGATCTCTCCTTCTTTAGTTGATTTCATATCAGTGCTGCTCATTGATGATTTGGAGGAGATCCCTGTTACAGTGGTTCTGACTGTTGGTAGGTTATCCCCAAGCCAGGGGGGAGGGGCAGTGGTTGTAAGGTTTCAGTGGAACATTTGGAACTATGGGAGGGAGTTTGAGGTCAGCGAGCTTGACATTTGTGTTCCTAATGAAACATGTTCTCTGTAGTCTAGCTTTCTGGGGTTTCTGCGGTCGGCTGTGCATGGACTGTTTTTTCAAATGGTAGTATTTGGAGAGCTGGATGAGGAGCTTTGTGTCTCTCCTGTTTTCCAGATCATGGAGACCAGTAATTGTTTCCATGTCTAATTTGGGCGTGGAGCACATTGCCCCTGTCATAATACGGAGAGCATGGTTTTGGATCTCTGAGATTTTAGAAAATTTGAATTTGCTGCTGTACCCCGAGCAGCTATCCCATAAGCTAGTGCTGGCCTCACATAAGCTGTATAGGTCCATTTGAGGACACTGAGGTTAAGCAACAATGATACTGAATTCATAACCTGTTGAAATCACCACTAATTAATGGAAAGAACTAAGTGGAAAGAGAAGGTCAGTCACAGAAATAAAGGGAGATCAGTGATATTTGCAGCAATGAATCTCAAAAGCTTAGAATGCTGAAGAAGTATATGTAACTAAATTGCCCGTAGCCTATTGAAAACAGCTACAATATATCAATAATTTCTCAGTTTTTTTTCTCAATAAATACCAAGATACAGTTTAACAGCCTTCTCAGCTCGCCTGTCTGAAGTGATATTTTTGTGATAATGAACATCTGACTAGTCAATGCTAACCTGGTATTTATAAACTAAACAAAAGGAGATCTCCAAATTAAACAAAGGGACATGGGAACAACATTTCATAGTCTCAGGAATGGAAATGTCTCAGGCATGGAAATGTCTCAGGAATGGAAATGTCTCAGGAATAGAAATGTCTCAGGCATGGAAATGTCTCAGGCATAAAAATGTCTCAGGGATAAAAATGTCTCAGGCATGGAAATGTCTCAGGCATGGAAATGTCTCAGGCATGGAAATGTCTCAGGCATGGAAATGTCTCAGGCATGGAAATGTCTCAGGCATGGAAATGGCATGGAAATGTCTCAGGCATGGAAATGTCTCAGGCATGGAAATGTCTCAGGCATGGAAATGTCTCAGGCATGGAAATGTCTCAGGCATGGAAATGTCTCAGGAATGGAAATGTCTCAGGCATGGAAATGTCTCAGGCATGGAAATGTCTCAGGAATGGAAATGTCTCAGGAATGGAAATGTCTCAGGAATGGAAATGTCTCAGGCATGGAAATGTCTCAGGAATGAAATGTCTCAGGAACTCAGGCATGGAAATGTCTCAGGCATGGAATGGAAATGTCTCAGGCATGGAAATGTCTCAGGCATGGAAATGTCTCAGGCATGGAAATGTCTCAGGCATGGAAATGTCTCAGGAATGGAAATGTCTCAGGCATGGAAATGTCTCAGGAATGGAAATGTCTCAGGCATGGAAATGTCTCAGGCATGGAAATGTCTCAGGCATGGAAATGTCTCAGGGAAATCTCAGGCATGGAAATGTCTCAGGCATGGAAATGTCTCATGTCATGGAAATGTCTCAGTCATGGAAATGTCTCAGGCATGGAAATGTCTCAGGCATGGAAATGTCTCTCATGGAAATGTCTGGAATGGAAATGTCTCAGGCATGGAAATGTCTCAGGAATGGAAATGTCTCAGGCATGGAAATGTCTCAGGCATGGAAATGTCTCAGGCATGGAAATGTCTCAGGAATGGAAATGTCTCAGGCATGGAAATGTCTCAGGCATGGAAATGTCTCAGGCATAGAAATGTCTCAGTCATGGAAATGTCTCAGGAAATCTCAGGAAATGTCTCAGGCATGGAAATGTCAGGCATGGAAATGTCTCAGGAATGGAAATGTCTCAGGCATGGAAATGGAAATGTCTCAGGCATGGAAATGTCTCAGGCATGGAAATGTCTCAGGCATGGAAATGTCTCAGGCATGGAAATGTCTCAGGCATGGAAATGTCTCAGGCATGGAAATGTCTCAGGCATGGAAATGTCTCAGGCATGGAAATGTCTCAGGCATGGAAATGTCTCAGGCATGGAAATGTCTCAGGGAAATGTCTCAGGCATGGAAATGTCTCAGGCATGGAAATCAGGAAATGTCTCATGGAAATGATGGAAATGTCTCAGGAATGGAAATGTCTCAGGCATGGAAATGTCTCAGGAATGGAAATGTCTCAGGAATGGAAATGTCTCAGGAATGGAAATGTCTCAGGCATGGAAATGTCTCAGGAATGGAAATGTCTCAGGCATGGAAATGTCTCAGGCATGGAAATGTCTCAGGAATGGAAATGTCTCAGGCATGGAAATGTCTCAGAAATAGAAATGTCTCAGGCATGGAAATGTCTCAGGCATGGAAATGTCTCAGGGATAGAAATGTCTCATGAATGGAAATGTATCAGGCATGGAAATGTCTCAGGGATGGAAATGTCTCAGGCATGGAAATGTCTCAGGCATGGAAATGTCTCAGGCATGGAAATGTCTCAGGCATGGAAATGTCTCAGGCATGGAAATGTCTCAGGCATGGAAATGTCTCAGGGATAGAAATGTCTCATGAATGGAAATGTCTCAGGCATGGAAATGTCTCAGGGATGGAAATGTCTCAGGAATGGAAATGTCTCAGGAATGGAAATGTCTCAGGCATGGAAATGTCTCTGGCATGGAAATGTCTCAGGCATGGAAATGTCTCTGGCATGGAAATGTCATTAGTTTACGGGCAGTGTTTAAAATGAATGGTCAGCACAACACATCTGAGGCCAAAAGGTAATAAAATAAAACCAAAAGAATTAAAATTAAACAAATGTAGGAAAGCAACCACTCACAGAAGATTCAATACACATGAGGACATCTGTGAAACAAGGTGCTTATGAAGAAACAAACACAGCCCCAGTAGTCAGTATTTATATAATCCACACACACACACACACACACACAAAGAAATGCAACACCATTGCAGTTGTAATGGACAGAAAGCTTTAAACAATATAAAAATGTTTATTTGAGGGAATTAATGTTTCAGTTTTTACATCAAGAAACTTTAGGACTGGAACAATACACGTTGACATTTGATTTGCACTTTTATTCTTTGCCAATGGGACCTCCGTTTCAGTAGGGTGTTCTCCTGTGACTTCTTAAGGAGATGGATCTGATTAGCCATTGGGTATGTTGTTGTGGGATAGCTTGCCACTCCTCTCGGAGTCTTTGTTGGAAATTGGCTGGAGCCATGTCTCATTGCTGGACTGGCCTGTCTAGTTCATCCCATAGCTGTTCTATGGGGTTCATGTCTGATGACATGGCTGGATGTTTTCAGTCAGCAAGGAACTGGGTGATGAGTTGATGTACATGAGGTGTATCACCCTGCTAAAAAAAATCGGCTTTTAAGCAGTCAGAAGTGGATGGGCATGAATTTCAGCAACATTTTGTTGAGGTAAAAAAGAGGGAAATCGTGGATGGGTCAAGCCGCGGACAGGTATGTTTACTTGGGGACATAAAACCTGGTGAGGAGTTTGTGCAAGTGCCTTCAGAGTGCTGCACATCTTTTCCTGTTTGTATCCAACTAGACAGAAAATGCAGACAACAGAGTCCGGCAGCTGTGGAAGCAGAAATTCAAGCCTTGATTTTCAAGAACACTCTAGAGGGTGATGCTGTCATTTACACAAATGGTTCTGTCATCCACCATGTTAGAAGCTCGAGGGCTTTCACGGTAAAGGTTTGGAGGGAGAGTTGTGAAGGAAGATTCTGGAGCTTTTGCCGTAACTACAAGTAGTCTGACTATGGAGGTCATGGCTGTGACTAAAGCTGTAACATGGCTAGAGACACAGACTTTCACTGGGGCCTGCTTTCTCAGTGACTGGATGAGTATGCTCAGAAAGATAAGAGAAGGGCTGGGTCCGGCCGCAGTGGTTGTTGGTGGCTGACAAGGATTATTTCATTTTCGTGCCAGGATATGTGGGAGTACAAGGAAATAAGCAAACATAGACTTGCAGGTAAGGCTATTGTGAAAGCCGGACAAGCCATGGACCAGGCTAATGTGCTGAATGCTGTAAGAGCGTTAAGACGCTTGCATGAACCAGTTGAGAACTGTGAATCTGCAACCATGATCAGGCTGTAAGAACAGCAAGTTAACCCGGTTGTCGCCAAACAAGAACACTATGTGGGTAGCCAAAGAAAAATAATAAACCAACACAGAACTGTTATCGTCAGCCACTATATGCTGCGGGATTTACTTAGGAGGGGATCCAAGCACTTATGGACTGAGTGGTTCAACATGAATAAGGATAATTTGTCGACTAACTAACTAGTTAGAAAACCGAAGTATGTCATAAAACCTGAAAAAATCAAGACAGAGGATATTGGAGAGTTTGGCAACATGGTATGGAAGTGATTGGCAATAAAGACAAAAGACTCTGACCACACACCATTGCCAATGTCAACATGGCATGAGTAATCAGAAGATGAAATCATAATTCTTTTTATCATATTAAATAAAATTATCGTGATTACAATAATCTGATGAATACATTTTTGATTTTGAACATTTATGAATTGAAAGTAAACACTGGGGTTGATTCCACAGCCAAACTCTCAAAGCCACATTCATCTGTTCCTCGACGAATCCAGAAATAGCCATCAATACCCCAATTTTCTCCCCAACTGTTTTTCACAATCCAGTATTTCTCCGAAGTCTTTTTATCCACACCCCAACCAACCAATAACACTGCATGATTGGTAATTTCAAATGGATTAAAGCGACCTAAGTTATCAGATATGGAATCAATATGATGATAGATTCCAGATTTGTAATTGGAAAAATCACTATACACCATGAACCCCACAGCAAGAGGTCCACCTTCATACAAAGCCTGTAGTATCACCGCTTCATTAGTTCTGCAGAATACAAACAATAAGAGAATCATGTGATAATGAACTAACTCACTATAATCCTACTTTCTTTTATATTTTTATAAAAAGCAAGCTTACTGAAGGTGCTGCACTTGCTTACCCCACAAAATAATAATAATAATAAAAACAAACTATTTCTTCAAGCAATAGAATAATCCCCTGCCAGCTTGCTAGAGTTAAAACCAGATATGGTGACATAGAGTTCATCCACCTAGTTGAGCCAGGGTCTAATTAGCCTCAATCACTGGAGGTGAGATTGACTTGTGTGTTCACAGGTCACTGGCAGGCTTCTGATTTTTTTTCCCCACAGAAGAGAGACTAACCCCCTATCTGAAGATCCAAGGGCAGTCTATATTTCGTACTATTTTGTTGATGGACAGGGGGAATGTTTCCTTAGAAACTTCTTTATGCGAAGCACACACATGAGAACTCTCTTGCTGTTGATGCTTCACCTCATTGTAAGCAAGATGTAAGTGAAGTGAGATATGATACTTTTCTTTAGGAGGAAATGAGAGAGAGAGAGAGAGGCAAACTTACAGACAGGAGGGGAGAGAGAGAGGCAAGCAGACACAGAGACATACAGAAGTAGGGAGAGAACAGCAGATATAGATACAGTAAGGGAGTGAGACGGAGTTAGGCAATTACAGAGAAATATAGAGAGGCAGAAAGACAAACAGACATAGAGATACAGAGAGGAAGGGAGGCAGAGAGAGAGGAAGAAAGATACAAAGAGGAAATGAAAGCCAAATAGAAACAAGAGAGAGAGAGTTGGTGGGGGACAGATAATACATATACAAAATATCAAATTTGAATCTATTGTAGGCATCCTCAAGATCAAGTGCTGCCACAACCGTCTCCTGTCTGTTCTGGAACCCCTCATAAACCACAAGATCAAGTGCTGCCACAACTGTCTCCTGTCTGTTCTGGAACCCCTCATAAACCACAAGATCAAGTGCTGCCACAACTGTCTCCTGTCTGTTCTGGAACCCCTCATAAACCACAAGATCAAGTGCTGCCACAACCGTCTCCTGTCTGTTCTGGAACCCCTCATAAACCACAAGATCAAGTGCTGCCACAACTGTCTCCTGTCTGTTCTGGAACCCCTCATAAACCACAAGATCAAGTGCTGCCACAACCGTCTCCTGTCTGTTCTGGAATCCCTCATAAACCACAAGATCAAGTGCTGCCACAACCGTCTCCTGTCTGTTCTGGAACACCTCATAAACATCAAAAGCAAAAGTAGCTGCATTAGACCATGTGTCCTTTTGTGGCCGGTAACTACCCAAAACCTTTTGGCAGGAGCTCTTCCATTTCAAAAAACATTTGTAGTTTAACAGCAATAATCTTCTCTAGCATCTTGACAAAAGAATTTTGTAGGGTGATAATTCTGAAACCGCTGAGTCTGGAATGATCTTTGCCTGGTTTCGGAAGTGAAATTAGGTAGCTGTGTACCCATTCCTGGAGTATTGAAGCTGTTCTGATGCTGTGGTTGAAGTAAAAAGCCATCTTCCTCAAGTCCCCATACTCTTCATGTGGGCATCCCTGACTCCGTCTGACCCCGGCGCAGTGTACTTTGCTTTTTGCAATATATGATTTATATCCTCAATCCTAATGATATTCTCAAAATAATTATAATTTATTGTATTATACCAGTAATTCCCAAACTGTGCGCCCCGGGGAGCCACGACTTTTTCACAGGGGCAACACAAAGTATTTGAAGATACACGATTTGTATTTTTCACATATGAATTGTCATACTTTTACTGAGGTTAGAGCGCCGTGGACAAATTTAAATTGAAAAAAAGGCGCCGCGACTAAGAAATGTTTGGGAAACACTGTATTATACAGATTATATCTGAACTTCTAAGCTCTCTATCATTGTGATCAGTCTGGGCTATAAATCTCTTTAACAATGCTTCCTCTTGGTCTGTTGTCATTGGTATATCATTATCAGTGTATATAATGCCTTGTCATTGGTATATCATTATCAGTGTATATAATGCTTGTCATTGGTATATCATTATCAGTGTATATAATGCCTTGTCATTGGTATATCATTATCAGTGTATATAATGCCTTGTCATTGGTATATCATTATCAGTGTATATAATGCTTGTCATTGGTATATCATTATCAGTGTATATAATGCCTTGTCATTGGTATATCATTATCAGTGTATATAATGCCTGTTGTGAAACACGTTCTCATTTATCTGCTGCACACCTCTCCAACTCTTCTACTTTTTGTTTTCTGATTTTTTTCTAGCATCTCTACATCCTCTTGTAAGCTGTGAGGTGCCTTTAGCACTTTCTGTAATTGCTTGACTGTTGCTTGCTTTGCTCTCCATGCCTGTTCTACTTAGTTTTGGTTTCTTTTTTGTGCCAGGACACTGTAGGATAAGAAGGAATAAATATGTGGACTACCTGGCAAGGCCAATGTAAGCAGAGGACAACAAATAGACCAGGCTGGTGTTCTCAATGCTCTCAGGGGACATAATCATACTATGTTGAAAGATAAATTGAGGGGGACCCCAAAAGAAAAAAAAAGTCAGTCCAGTAAATTAACTAGTTGACTACAGAAGGATAACAGAATAAAACACAGCATAAACACAGTAAAGAATTGTGCAGTCTTGAAAGTGAACACAAAAATATACAGTCAAAATATGCTAGAATGAAAGCAGTTAGGAAGCTTTCAATCTAAATGTACATTTTATGACAGAAATGGTTTAGTAATAAAAGAGAAAAGCATCCTGGTAAATTTAAAATGAATATATTACTTACGCCCCGTAGTAGCCGCCCACATATTTATAGTTAGTAAAGTAATGGCGTGGGCACGTAGAATTTGTTGTGCAAATCCCATCAATTCCTTTATAAGAATTACACTCTTCCAAAACCAATCCGTAGTCTTCTGCATACTTGCCAGAAATCAGGTAAGGAAAGCCTCCTGCACAACCTAAATGCACAGCAGACATTTTTGTAAATATAAAATTAAGGATGCTTCATAGAATTTTTTTTTAAAATAATGCTTTATAATTTGTTATTTATTAGCAATTTGTGAAAATTATAAATATGTTACATTTAGTGTATATTGTTAAATTTTAAAGTAGCCAAAGAGATAAACAAAATGAACAGCTGATATATGGCATTTCATGAATACATAATAATTAATTGCATGAATTAGTATTTTCTTAACAAAAAGAAATGTATGGAATTGGGCGACACAGAATGCGACACATTCATTGTTTCCAATTTAGTATGTCTTAGAAAATAACTAACTGTCTTACTACAACAATGGGATTTGCTGTAGTATAGCTAGATGCTTGCCTGTGGATGTGAAGATCATGGGTTCAAATCCAAATGGTGCCCGACTTTTGAAGAAAAAAATGTTTTTTAAATGACTGGCTGCCAGGTCGACCGAGCCTTAGATGGGAACCAGAGAAAATCCTGGGAAGTAAAGGCGGCTGGCATGATGTTGACCGCATCAGCCATGGAGTGCAGACTGGTCTATAAAACAGAGGGTTTAACCGTAAGCTAGTCACTATGGTCGTCAAGGTAGTCGGCTAATTTGCTAGCACAGCGACAAATATAACACCAAATCTCACAATACCATATCATCTTGTCCCTGTCCTAGAGTCTGCTAAAGTGCAGCAGGGCAAGCTCATAGCCTGAAGTCATGGCCCAGGTGGACCCACCTTCCAAGACTGTATAGGAAGTCATGGCCCAGGTGGACCCACCTTCCAAGACTGTATAGGAAGTCATGGCCCAGGTGGACCCACCTTCCAAGACTGTATAGGAAGTCATGGCCCAGGTGGACCCACCTTCCAAGACTGTATAGGAAGTCATGGCCCAGGTGGACCCACCTTCCAAGACTGTATAGGAAGTCATGGCCCAGGTCGACCCACCTTCCAAGACTGTATAGGAAGTCATGGCCCAGGTGGACCCACCTTCCAAGACTGTATAGGAAGTCATGGCCCAGGTCGACCCACCTTCCAAGACTGTATAGGAAGTAATGGGCCAGGTCGACCCACTTTCCAAGACTGAATAGGAAGTAATGGGCCAGGTCGACCCACTTTCCAAGACTGAATAGGAAGTAATGGGCCAGGTCGACCCACCTTCCAAGACTGTATAGGAAGTAATGGGCCAGGTCGACCCACTTTCCAAGACTGAATAGGAAGTCATGGCCCAGGTCGACCCACCTTCCAAGACTGTATAGGAAGTCATGGCCCAGGTGGACCCACCTTCCAAGACTGTATAGGAAGTCATGGCCCAGGTGGACCCACCTTCCAAGACTGTATAGGAAGTAATGGGCCAGGTCGACCCACTTTCCAAGACTGAATAGGAAGTAATGGGCCAGGTCGACCCACTTTCCAAGACTGAATAGGAAGTAATGGGCCAGGTCGACCCACCTTCCAAGACTGTATAGGAAGTAATGGGCCAGGTCGACCCACCTTCCAAGACTGTATAGGAAGTAATAAGCCAAAACAATCATCGACCAGGGATCTTTCTACTGTTGAACAGTGGACCCCCCCCCCCCCCCTTGTGCATGCTCCACTGTGGAGTTCTTCTTATTATAGGTCTAGCACTATATGCCCAATGTGCCTGAAGGTGAAGGAAAGGGCCCTTTTACTACAACAATGTTCACTGACAAGAGTAAATAGAGTTTAAGATTTTTAAAGTCCAAGTATATAATGTATTTGAGTTCAATCTGCACTGAACTATTTATGCATTGACATGCTCTATTTAAAAAAAAAAGGAATATGCTGCCATCATCCTCAAGTTGTGCCACGCCATTACACATTAATAGTAATGCTGCATCATCTGACATGATAACTAGTCTTGTTCACATCAGAATGTTGACCCTGCTTGCTTTATTTGGTGAAGCCATCCATGTATTTATTTCTTTGTCTTGCCTTTGATTTTACCCATTAATTTTTCAAGTTGATTTTCCCTCACAACATGTCTACAAAAACTGTATTGTTGACTTCTAATGTCTCTAATCATCTAATCATTTGTTTTTCTGTGTGTTTATTTTTTCTTCTTTGCATTTTCCTCATACATCAGATCTCCACTGTTTTTGGACATTTTTCAGCACGTCTGCTCATTGTCTATGTTTAAATGTCTGCTCATTGTCTATGTTCAAATGTCTGCTCATTGTCTATGTTCAAATGTCTGCTCATTGTCTATGTTTAAATGTCTGCTCATTGTCTATGTTCAAAAGTCTGCTCAGTGTCTGTTTAAATGTCTGCTTATTGTCTATGTTTAAATGTCTGCTCATTGTCTATGTTTAAATGTCTGCTCATTGTCTATGTTTAAATGTCTGCTCATTGTCTATGTTTAAATGTCTGCTCATTGTCTATGTTTAAATGTCTGCTCATTGTCTATGTTTAAATGTCTGCTCACTGTCTATGTTTAAATGTCTGCTCATTGTCTGTTTAAATGTCTGCTCATTGTCTATGTTTTAATGTCTGCTCATTGTCTGTTTAAATGTCTGCTTATTGTCTATGTTTAAATGTCTGCTTATTGTCTATGTTTAAATGTCTGCTCATTGTCTATGTTTAAATGTCTGCTTATTGTCTATGTTTAAATGTCTGCTTATTGTCTATGTTTAAATGTCTGCTCATTGTCTATGTTTAAATGTCTGCTCATTGTCTATGTTTAATTGTCTGCTCATTGTCTATTTTATTGTCTATGTTTTAATGTCTGCTCATTGTCTATGTTTAAATGTCTGCTCATTGTCTATGTTTAAATTATCAAAAGCAATACAGTTTTTGACATTTGAATTAAAAAACAAACATGTAAATAAAGTTTAGCATCAGTTTTACTTTTCTGCAACTTAAATAAATTTTCTATTGCTAAGAAATCACCTCTATTTTTCCCTGTCTTTGTCTTCAGTGCTACTAAATATGCCTATAATTCCATTTCTTGATGTGGGATTTCATCAAGAGATATTGGGTTATTACTACCTGATTCAATCTCATTATCTATGTCTTTCCTTCTTAATGTTCACTTCTAACTGTATACACCTGCTGACTTTGTGAGTGCTGCAACAACAGAAATGTCATCAATCAACTCCAGATCATCCAGCTGCTCCGTCAAGGTCCACAGAATTTAATTTCTGATAGCAATGATTGTTATCCTCACAATCCAATCCATCTTTTTCCTCTTTTGTCCTACTGATTATGCCGTGAAGAATCGCAGACTTAAATTGGATGTAGTTTCCTATTTTTTGCTAGTTGTGTTGTTTTTGTTAATGTTATATTGCGATTCTGTAATATCTCCTTTACTCCATCCACGCATCTCTTTTCTGGTCAGCCTCTTGTCATACAGTCCGCTCCGACTGCTGGCTAATTTTGTTTCATTGTGACCAGGTGACTAAACCATTTGATTCTTTGATGTTCTATGAAATCATTTTCCAGTACCGGTCATCTGGTCATCTTAATGTCAGCTTCACAGCAAACAAGTCACCGTCTAGTTGCAACCAGTACCGGTCATCTGGTCATCTTAATGTCAGCTTAACAGCAAACAAGTCCCTGTCTAGTTGCAACCAGTACCGGTCATCTGGTCATCTTAATGTCAGCTTCATAGCAAACAAATCACTGTCTAGTTGCAACCAGTACCGGTCATCTGGTCATCTTAATGTCAGCTTCATAGCAAACAAGTCACCGTCTAGTTGCAATCATTGCTCTTGGTTCTTCGTTGGTGAGTCTCCTTCTTCTTGTTTTTCCCACTTCATTTCATTTACATCTCATCTTAAATGTTGTAATTTTGCATTTTATGTTTTTCTAAGAGTGTCCATGCCTGACTCTGAACTTGGTATGATTAGCACATTAATCAGCTGCTTTTGTGTGCATGTTGATTTTCTGATGCCTTAAAAGTGGGGTTTATTTGGTACTTTATGTTCTGGTAATCTGGTAATCTGGTAATCCTAGTTTCAGCATCATAGCAAACGGGTCACCCCATTGTTGCTCCGCTCCTGTGCCAACGAAAAACACTCGTAGCTCACAGTGTCACACCATGCACTCAACTCAGAAGCTGGGTGACGAAACCATATCCTTCCAGTCTACAAATGGAGCAAAAATGCAACGGCCACCGCCTGGCAGAACTGCCACGGCTAAAAAAAAAAAAAAAAAAAAAAAAAAAAGTGGCCGTGCCTAGCATCCACTGTGACTTGAAGCATTATGTGAGGGGTTAACAAATGGTCACCCCAGCAGTACCCTCACTATTAGCTGGGAAAGGGACTTAGGACATTACATCCACCAGCAGGCGTCGCCCCTACAACGACCTGACTGCCTTCGTTAACGACTGTTCACCCAACAGCCATGCAGTTCTTTGGCACGAAGGAGACACCTTGAACTTGGGTTTCGGAATGCCGACTTCCTACAAAATGTTATTTTGTGTTTTGTTATCACAATCGACGTCACTGCACATTGGGCATACCCATGCGTGCGCAGTCCTCCGAAGCAGCAGCCACTCCAAAGTACTTCTACTAATGGTCCCCATGAGAAGCTGGTTATATTGTCTCCTTTCTCGGCCTCGCAGACGGCAAAGACGTGCTTCACCATGCTTAACTCCCATGTCACGCAATCGTGTTAGTGTCAGGGATTCGATATTATCCACTAGCCCAGTACGTACAGCGTTAACGATATCTGCTCTGTCCATGCTTTTTCCCCGCAATCATTAGTGCTGTGCTTGCCAGTTGGTCCGCGTCGCTCATTTCCCTTTACGCCCGCATGACCCGGTGTGTAGATCCAGGTTACGGAAGTTAAGTGCGATTTCCGAATGCTTTCTATCCATTCAGAGCGCATACTGCCAGTTGCTATTTTCTGAAGCATATTCATTGAGTCTGAGACAATTACTGCTTGTGTGGCGGTTTGCTCGGATACCCATGCTAAAGCTCTAGAAGCAGCGGCTATTTCCATGGTCATGCTTGACGTGGTTGTCTGGTAAGCGCCGCTATCTTCGTGTATTGTTTTCCCCCTTCTTTGCGCTGTGTATGCCCATGCTGACCTTGATCCGCGCTTCACGGACCCATCTGTGTAGATGATGATATCTTCTGGGTCTGAATGCTGATCTATCAGTTCCCTTACTTTTGTGTCTATGGCCGCAGGAATCTGATCCCGACAGTACCTTCCTAGTGTGATGACAACCTTAGAGATGCCATGCATGTCTACTGGTGTATTCATCCATTCTTTTCCGTGCCTGATAACGCGTAGGTCACATACCTGCTGGATCAAATTCTCAGCCTTTGCCATCCAAGAGCGGCCTCTCTTTGAGACGCGTTCCTTTTGTGTCGTATATAGCTTTGTGCAATGGGTGGTTAGCGTCTGCCGATACCCTCATGTAAGCCTTGACTTGTGCCACTTTGTATCTACTAGTCATCGTCGGCAAACCCAGGACATAACGCATGGCGTTGCAGGAGGTGTCTTTTGTGCAGCCGAGTATGAGTCTCATGGCCTCATTCTGTACTCGGTCCAGTCTTTCTAGCTGGGTTTTGCTGACAGTGAGGAGGCCAAGACCATAGTCAATGACGCTAAGCACAAGCCCTTGATAGAGAAGGAAAAGTAGGCGTTGTTCAATATCAGCTGCTGCTAGCACCTTGAGTGCTGTCAGACCTTTTCTGGCTCTAAGTATGACGTTGTCTACGTGGCATTTGTATGACAAGCATCTGTCAAATGTCATACCCAGGTATTTCATGGTGTCCGTTCTCTCGATGTCCACACCACATATGCTTACGACTGGCGTTGGTGTATTGACGATGTGAGTGTTTAGAGAGAACCATGTTAAGGAGGCTTTGGACGGGTTCACATGAGCTCTTGATTCCTGGCACCACTCACTAAGTCTGTCCAGTTCGTGTTGTAGTGTGGTTGTAATTTCCTGCCTGTTTTTACCTCGACGGTAAACAAGAATATCATCTGCATACGACATTGTTCTACCTAGACCTACGCGTTGTGCACTAGTGACTCCTGCTGTGTACACATTGAAGAGCACAGGCGACAGTGGTGATCCCTGTGGCAGACCCATTAGGACTCGTTGAGGTTCGGATGCCCATTTACCACATCGAAGCGACACTGTTCTTTCAAAAAACGCTGCTGCGATCCAGTTGACCAACTTTGTCTCTATCTGCATATCCAACAGCAGTCTGATGAGCATGTTGTATGGGACGCTGTTGTACGCATCTTCTAAGTCAATAGCGGCTGCAGCAGTTTCCATTCCCTCCTGGAAACCCTCATATGTGTCGTAAGCAAATACTGCAGCATTGCACCATGTATCTCTTCCTGGTCGGTAACCACCTAGTGTAGCGGGGAATAGACCACCCGACTCTAATTTTTGGTTTAACGTTCTGGCAACGATTTTTTCCATGAGTTTTCCTACCGTGTTCTGAGTGTTATGATCCTATAGCCATTTATTCTCGTGTGGTCTTTTCCTGGCTTAGGAACTGGTCTGAGATAGCTGTGGAGCCAGTCATCAGGAATAATGCCAGTTTTCATGGTGTTGTTAAAAATCGTGGATAGTTCATCCATATCTGTCATATCGAGGCTTTTGAAGTCGCTGTATCTAATGCCATCAGGACCTGGAGCTGTGTCTGGACAGGTCTTCAGTGTTGCTTTGATGCAGTCCGTTGAGATGTATACTGTATCATCGTCTTCCTCGATTTCAGCCATCTGGATATCATGTAAATTCTGTTTCATCTGCTCCCTATCTTCCCTGTCTTTCTTTTCCGTCTGCAGGAGAAATCTGTGCAGGATAGCCTCCCCTTTGTCTTTATCCGATTTTAACACCACCCCGTTGTCCATCTTTAGCTCGGGCATAACAGAGGTTTGTTTGCCTCCGTTCATCTTTTGGTGGAGCCGCCAGAATTTTCTGAGAGATTTTTTCGTAGCCTATTTCTTGACAAAAATGTTCCCACATTGTGTGCTTAGACTCCTTTGCGAGTTGTTTAAAATGTTCAGTGAGTCTGTCTTTTTTGTGTTTAATGTCTTGTTTCTGCGCCTCAGTAAAATTCGAAGACTTTCTGCATTTCTCCCAGTCTTTGGTGGCACCTCGTTTCTCTGTCCAGGCTTCTGCGACTTCAGGTGTCCACCACGGGGGCTGTTGAAAGATAGCTTTCTTCTTTCCCGGTGTTCTGCGTGACCTGTCTCGCAGACGCCCAATTACATCAGGCTGATTTGCAGCATACTGGAAAGAAGTGGCTGGTCTCTGATACCTTGTGCAGATTGTTTTTTTGACCAGAATCCAACATGGTACTTTATGTTGTTGGTCTTCAGTATTCTGTTTTCTATTTGCCTGTCCAATCCTCCATTTTCAGTGCATACACTGCCTAGGTATCCAGTCTACAGCTAATAAAATAATAAAAGTGATTAAAAGTATTTTTACCAGACCAATTTTTCATCTCAAATGTATTTATCCTATAAAGAATTCTGCATTTCATGTTTTTCTGGTGCTGTTTTGATCAAGTTAATTGTCTGTAGGATCCCAGAGTATGTAATCAATTTATAAAAAGATGCTGTTAATGGCCTTTTCACAGTCCACAGTTGAGTTATGAGTTGCTCCAATTCCCCTCTCAACATATTCATCAGCGTCACATGGTTAATAGTGACAGTCTTATGTTGGTTTACAAGACTTTGAGCGCATCTGGTGTACTTCTCATGCTTGGCTGTGCCAATCTTTACTCCCAATTCTCGTATTCTTAGCAGTGATGTAGACACGTTGCTTCCAAAATCCCCAGAACGTCATATCTCTCTAAGGGCACTGACAATGTCTGCGTGATCCATGGGCCGGCCATCTTCAATTAATGCAGCATCTGCCAGTCTATCAGCTCTTTCTTTACCAACAACGCCTGCATACTCTGGGACGAATATGAAGGTAACTGCAGACACAGGAGAGTTTTACAATGACTCAAACCACTGTGTGCGTAACCAGCCTGCCTCGACCCACCAGATCATGCTCAAAGAATCACTCAGCACACTCACGCGTGAATAGTCTTGTGATCCTAGCCACATGAAAGCCTGTGTCACCGCCATCACTTCCATCTTCATGCTGCTGCTGGTGGTCATGGAGAAGGCACCACTGGCTTCCTGAACTCTTCTGCCTGAAGAGCGAGCTTTAAATGCCGACGCACTCTTATGTCCTCGTATAACAGACCCATCTGTAAAGATCACCACATCTGACTCATCTGACCTGTCACTGATAAGCGCGCATACCTTGGCATAGACAGCACCTGGATTCTACTCCTGACAACTCCTATCGAGCGTCACGACACAGGAGAATGTGAGGTTGGGTGCTTTGGACGCTGGTATCCATTCCTCATCTGGATGGATGTCTGTAAAGCTGCAAACCTGCATGATGTCATCCTCTGCCCTACCAAGCCATGATTTGCCCTTTTTAAACCTATTGCCCTTTTTCTTGAAGAGCATGTGGTGCAAAGGGTACTTGAGGTTTGCACGAGCCCTCCAGATCTTGATCCTGTAGTTCATGGTAGAGAAGTCAAGATGGTACCTCGCTGCTACACAAGAGGTGTCTCCAGTGCACCCCAGAATAATGCACCTTCTCAAGTCTTTTAGTCTGAGTATGGCTGACAGTGAGGATGGCTAGAGCACATTCGACAGGAGAAAGTACAAGTCCCTGGAACAGAAGCAGAGCAGTCTCTGCTTAGTGTTAGCGACAGCCAGGACCCTTATTGCTAACAAGCCTTTGCATGCTTTTGTTATAACATTGTCGACATGTTCTTTGAAGGATAGGTTGCGATCAAACCTCACTCCGATGTATGTCATCAAATTTGTTTTCATCTTAATGTCCTCGCTGCTTTCCACTGCTGTAAGTCTGCCTATAAGCGTGTTCAAGGAGAACCCCGTTACTGAGGCCTTCGAAGGGTTGACATGAGCATTAGAATCTGTACACCAGGAGGAGATGCGATCAAGTTCACCCTGCATTGAATTGGCAATCTTTTGACGATCTTTTCCATGTCGATATACCATAAATCTAACACTGAGGTGTGAATTCACTTTAATATTCTGCTTTGTTATTATGAATGAATGGCCATAGCAATGCAAAGATTAAACAGCATTAAAAGTCTATGGTTAAGGAAATCAAAATTAAAATTGTGAGAGCATGCATCTTCCCTGTAGAAAGATACGGATAACAGTCTTGGACTATCTCCCAGTCATGGACTATTCAAAATTTCATGGACAAAGAAGAGAAAAAATACTGACATTTTAAAAGATCTGAACATCAAGGAAGATTGGTTAATAAACAGCATCTTATCTCGGAAGCTGAAATATTTTGATCATATCAAGCGCCACGGCAGACTGGAAAATAATAATAGCAGAAGGCATGGTAACAGGAAAGAGGTGACTTTTTGAGTATGAAAGTACATGAGACGGGAGAGTTGGCGAGAGACCAAGTTCTTTTCAGGCAGACTGTGATGACAGCGACATTTTGCAAAGGACCTGCTACATGATGATGATTATGAAAATGGTGACTGCCTGGTCAGTGGTTATCAATTTGTAACCTTCAAATAAAAGATTTAAAATACAAAAATAAAAAAGTATTGTGAGACTGAATCAAACCTTGTGAGTACGGACTGCATTCTACCACATCCTGAGGGGAAAATACTGGTTTCTGGGTGTTATTAGTCAGTATTCGAATTCTTGCTTCATCCATTGCTAGTGCGGCAAAGGCATAGCAGCTACCACATCCTCCTAGTATATTTTGTGAAACAAAATAGTACATACTTAATCACAAATAAATATTTAAGCATAAATAAATTTATGCAAATAAAGACATGGTAAAAGAATGGTTCCGGGAAGGCTAACCCAGTCAACAAATGCCCGCAGAAGACGGATGTGTCGGCCGAAAGGTGCAACTATCGCAGCCTGGCTGTAAACAAATGACTGCAGAAGTCGGATATGTCGGCCGAAAGTTGCAAATATCGCAGCCTGGGTGTAAACAAATGACTGCAGAAGTCGGATGTGTTGGCCGAAAGTTGCAAATATCGCAGCCTGGCTGTAAACAAATGCCTGAAGAAGTCGGATGTGTTGGCCGAAAGGTGCAAATGTCGCAGCCTTGCTGTAAATGGACACAATGCAATTACATCTTCGGATGAACGCAGAAGAAGAAGAAGAAGAAAAGAACGGCTTTGGTTCTATGAAAGCCAGACAAGATACAGTTTATAAATGATACATAAAATATATAAAAGTTAAGAAAAGTATTTAAGTTTGTTCATAGACTACCATAATAGAGAACACAGAACATCAAGAACAGTTAGGAATATAGCATTGGCACTGTCAGGCCCATGAATTTTGACAGTAATTTTCCTTTACCAAAACGGCAGAGGGGGTGTTGTAAAATAAAGGCAATTTAGAATGTAATATATTTCTATTCTTTTAAAAAGTATCAATTTTTTAAAGAGGAATAAATGTACATTTTGAATTTGAATGATAGGTAAATGTTTAATGCTGTTATAGTTAGCAGGGGAAAAAAATTCAGCAGGCGTAATGTTCAGAAAGACAAAATGTTGCAAAATAATTCTTCCCTTACCATGGTTTTGCACCCACATAAGAAGTAATATCCAAATTTGAGAACAAAAATGTAAAGTTTGTTCAGTTTCCTAACAAATTCAAAAGTTATAAGTTTCTGGGTTAGTTTATCACTCTGAGTCTCTATGTTCTTAGGGTGCGGCATTTGCTAGATTCTGTGCTATCTGGTCAAACTGGAATTTCTCAATCAACACATACTATGTCGACTGGACTAACACACTCTATGTCGACTGGACCAACACAGAAAGGACAGTTCAGCAATGCAAATCAAAGTAAGCAAACAGATACCAAGAACATGTAACAAGTTTCTCCTACCTGTGACATGCAATAATAGATTAATGTAAAAGTAAAATAGAAAAAAAAAAATGGATAAGGAATGGACACAAATATTTTCAACAACATTAGAAAAATACTAATATCTAGACACAAATAATATACAGTGGTACCTTGACTTATGAACCGCTCTACATAAGAACTTTTCAAGATACAAACTTTTTTCATATCTCATTTTGACCTCTACATGTTGTGTGCTAACTGGACTATTAGAATGCAGTTATACCAGAGATCAGCTGAGTGTGAAGGTGTACATTACAATTCCCGATACGAGTGACCAAAGTAAGTGTAAATACTTGACCACTGGAAGAGTGTGGAGCTTGACATGATATTCCTGCCATCCACTGATTACAAAGTTAACAATCATATAAAGTTAACAATCATATAAAGTTAACAATCATATAAAGTTAACAATCATATACAGTTAACAATCATATAAAGTTAACAATCATATAAAGTTAACAATCATATAAAGTTAACAATCATATAAAGTTAACAATCATATAAAGTTAACAATCATATAAAGTTAACAATCATATAAAGTTAACAATCATATAAAGTTAACAATCATATAAAGTTAACAATCATATAAAGTTAACAATCATATAAAATTAGCACCACATACCTAATACTAATTATGGCATGGACAAGTCAGAGAACCTTCATTACATGGGTCTGAGATTAAAGAAGGCAATAATTTTAAAAAAAAAACTATGTATCTTTTTAATGACAATTTTTGTGCCTGTTATACCTTGATTTCTGACTGGGCTAACATAATTAACGCCATTCACATTTCGCCAGTCAAAGCTTTCAGGCAAACTTCCCATGAGTCTCTTATGTGCATCTGTAAGTGGTGCTGGCTTAGGGCGGCTACGGACCAAACAAAAGCCAAGATCATTAGAGAACATATACTTAATATAGAAAGAAACTGATCAACAATACACAGATCTTATCTTGAACACAACAGCACTTGCTTGAGCAGATATCAATACATTTCTGATGATGCAGGAAAAAACCTCAGAATAAAACAGAAAAAAAAAACATTTAACTCCATAAACTACATACAAAAACACTTTCACAGGTATGCATGGATCAGTTTAAACAAGAAATCAGGAACAGTGCTGAATCTACAAAAATAGAGCAAATAATACATAGTAGCTACTGAAAAATTCTGAAGTAATTTTAGAACTGAGACAGGGACTTTGAAAACTATAGCAGAAATGCTGTTAACAGAGAAACACACACACATAAATAGACAGCTCACTTCACAAATGTAGTGTACATAAAAAAAAAAGCCAAAACTGGTTGCCCTAAGAGCATAACTTCATAGACCATTTTAAAAAAACCTAACGCAGTGCTATTCAAATGGCAACCCCCAGGCCAAATCTGGCCCGCTAAGGGCTAAGAAGTGGCCCATAGATCACTGCCAATTGTACTGTATTAATGATCTTTCTATACTGGGGCTTCGGCCTCTGGAATGTGACAATCCTCATGTTCAATATTGCAACTCCTAAGTAGACTTAGTTGACTAGCTTTGCCCTAAAGGGCAGTCAATATATAGGTCCCATGCCTTTGCAACATAATTATGAATGAAGAGGCTGACAAACTAGCAAAGGAAGATAGTCATCAATGCAAGTGAGATTTCAACTTCACTGCATTCAGGTCAGCCTATACCTGGCTGCATTCATGTGCCAGTTTTAAACTTTGAAAGACTGGTGAGCAAACAATTAGTCCCCACACAATCTACAAATATGCTTAGCGGCGCAGGGGATACACTAGGCAGTAAGTTTAATCGCGTTTTGCGCATGCTATTATCATCTGCTACTATCGTCTGCAGAAACGCTCAAAATTGTCAACGGTCGCTATTATCGTCTGCACTGTTGCGTCTCTTGAAATTGTCAAGTAATCCTAGTTTTGCCACGATTTGTTCCTTAGCAGAAAGTCCGCATTTTACATATGCCTGAGCCCCATAAGGATATTTTATGGCCGCCATAATATCGGGTCAAAGTTCGATGGAGAGCCCATGTCCTAGCCATGTGTATCTCCTACCTTTGATAACCTTTGCCAGGATAAAACATTTTGTGTTTCTGCTAATTTCTGTATTTGTAATTTTGCTTGGCCAAAAAATTTGCAGAATTTTTCTGAGACATTAATTTTGAAAAGGTCGCTAGTTTATCTGTTTCCATAACAACGTTCATGTTTACAGTAATGGCTGGTCAACCTCCAACCCGGAAGATCAGGGGAGCTAATTTTGTCTGACACTTTTCATCAAGGAAGCTGCTGTTGTGTAGCTACTAGACGCTTGCCTGTGGATTGGAAGGTCATAGGTTCGGGTCCTGGTGATGTTTTAAAAATTGACCATGGTAGAGGTCAACCCAGCCTTGAGTTTGTACCAGGTTTAGTTGTTGGTAGTAAAAGTGACTGGCATGATGCTGACCACACTGAGGGTTGACTGGCATGATGCTGACCACACTGAGTGTTGACTTCAACCTTTTTATCAAGTCCTTTTTAACTGTGCTAAACCTGCCAGAGCCATGTTCACTATCAGGGGCATGTTCACTGCCAGGGCCATGTTCACTGCCAGGGGCATGTTCCCTGCCAGGGCCATGTTCACTGCCAGGGCCATGTTCACTGCCAGGGCCATGTTCACTGCCAGGGCCATGTTCACTGCCAGGGCCATGTTCACTGCCAGGGCCATGTTCACTGCCAGGGCCATGTTTCCTGCCAGGGTCATGTTTCCTGCCAGGGCCATGTTTCCTGCCAGGGGCATGTTTCCTTCCAGGGGCATGTTTCCTTCCAGGGGCATATTTACTTCCAGGGGCATGTTTCCTGCCAGGGGCATGTTTCCTGCCAGGGGCATGTTTCCTGCCAGGGGCATGTTTCCTGCCAGGGGCATGTTTCCTGCCAGGGGCATGTTCCCTGTCAGCATAGCTTTTAATTATCATTATAGAATATAAGAAGCCATCCTGCCGTGACAAGGAACCTGCATACTGAGACAGACATTTTCTAAAACAGCCTTCAACTGCTTTGTTGCTTCGTGTATCACTGAATCAATGACGTGTAATTACTTTCTCAAATTGTGGGAACAAAAAGTCACAAAGAGCAAGATGTGGGGAATATAGACAATATGAAAGCAATGCAATTTTCTCTTTGGACAAAAATCATTGATGGCAGACCTGTGAACAAAGATATTGCCATGTTGCAGAATCCAAATATCAGTAGAGCACTTCTCAGGATGGTGTCTGTATACATGGTCACAGAGACATTACAGCATTTTATGTTTATGTTTACACTCTTGTCTCTAGAGACATACTTATGATGACTAGTCCATCAATGTCAAAGAGCATAAACAACATTTGTCTCACAGATGATTAGATGCAGATCATCTTCAAAGGATCGACTGCCACTTCTGAATTGGATAGACCCCCCAACTGTCTTTCATTGGCAAGTCTCTCAAATGCTGATAGCAGCATTTTCAAAGTCCAAAAGCAGAAATCCATGCATACAGGTTGCTGAATGTTTACACTCATTTTGTCAAGCTGCAAGATCACATCCAAGTTTAGACTTCCACTCTGTGCATTCACAGAGATAATACTAATTCTGATGTGGCATAGACATCAGTAAATGGCAACTTATGTGCAATGCATTCATGGTACATTGTCTTCGAGCAAAGAGATAACAAAGGCTGACAACACATATTCTGACATATAACCAATAATGCTAAAATTAACCCTTTCGCCCTGCGAACAATTTAAAAAAAAAAAGGTAATGACCCCGTTTCTTTTGACCTCCATCAATTTCCTGGTAAGCAGTTCCAGAACAAGAAACCATCAGCTGTAGAAAGTAATGTGCTGCAATATTCACAAATACAACAGGAAAAGACAAGCATAATTAACAAATGCAAGTCCACTTGCACCTGGCATATCAATAGTTGACCAGATGAAAAACATTTCTTGAAAAGCGAGTACATTTTGTATCAATTACAAATTTTTTTTTTATGTTAATGGCAATGTAATATAAAAACCATTTTCTGCATTATCATTATACAGTATAATTTAAAAGATTTCAAGAGATTATAGCAAACCTGTGAATGACGGACATAGGTCCTCCAGCCAGGTTAATAAAGTCCTCATCACGTAAACCCTCAAACTGTGGGTACCTAACTGCTTGCCAAGAGTTCTGGGCTGCATTTATTGATGCAACCATCTCTTGGGAATTTATTCTACAAAAAACCAGAAAAAAACATTATGTGCTAATGTGTATCATACGTCATATCTGCAAGTCATAACATCTCTCTCCTGCTCATTAATATTCATATGCACATATCAGAGCAGTCCCACAAAAATAAGTGGTCTGTTAAAACTGTAGCAAGTAAGTTGAACAATGAGCTGGTTTCTATACAACTACATATTGTACCAGTGACATTGACCTTCATCTAACAACAGTGGGGTCATGGCCAAAAGGTGGGTCATTACCGTACTTCCACTAAAGTCAAAGCAAATGAAAAGCCTTTAGCTGCTTTAACATGTCCATCAATGAAGGATTTTGAAGAAAGAATGTGTGCAAAGTTAAGTTACAAATTAGATCATTTTACTGAAAGAATTAAAATGCTACAACAAAACTATGAGGGTAACTGTTCTGAGTCAAATGTAATGTCACAAGTGGTAAAGAAACTTCAAACTGGTTTGAAAATTGGAGGCAGTGATAAAATACTCTACACCCTTACACGTCTATGGACCTTGCTGAAAACGTCATTGATCAGCACCCAGCTGGTCCTGAAGTATTGAAGCAAGTGGGAATCTGTAAAAGTGTGTGGCCTGTGATTGAACACTCATCTTTGTGTCTCAGTGTGTGTTACCAAATGAACAAAACATGGATCCTGCAACAATTATCAGCACACATATGACTACTTATTCATGAGTGCTATCCTATATATGGTATGATATCCCAACAACTGACTTCAGTGCACATATGACTACTTATTCATGAGTGCTATCCTGCATAAGGTATGCTATCACAACAACTGACATCAGCACACATGTGACAACTTATTCATGAGTGCTATCCTGTATATGGTATGCTATCACAACTAACATCAGTGCACATATGACTACTTATTCATGAGTGCTATCCTGTAAATGGTATGCTATCACAACAACTAACATCAGTGCACATATGACTACTTATTCATGTGTGCTATCCTACATATGGTATGCTCTCATAACAACTGACATCAGTGCACATATGACTACTTATTCATGAGTGCTATCCTGTATATGGTATGCTATCACAACTAACATCAGTGCACATATGACTACTTATTTATGAGTGCTATCCTGTATATGGTATGCTATCACAACAACTGACATCAGTGCACATATGACTACTTATTCATGAGTGCTATCCTGTATATGGTATGTTATCACAACAAGTGACATTAGCACACATATGAATACTAATTCATGTGTGCTATCCTGCATATGGTGTGCTATCACAACAACTGACATCAGTGCACATATGAATACTTATTCATGAGTGCTATCCTGTATATGGTATGCTATCCCAACAACTGACTTCAGTGCACATATGACAACTTATTCATGTGTGCTATCCTGCATATGGTATGCTATCACAACAACTAACATCAGTGCACATATGACTACTTATTCATGTGTGCTATCCTGCATAAGGTATGCTATCACAACAACTGACTTCAGTGCACATATGACTACTTATTCATGAGTGCTATCCTGTATATGGTATGCTATCACAACAACTAACATCAGTGCACATATGACTACTTATTCATGAGTGCTATCCTGTATATGGTATGCTATCACAACAACTAACATCAGTGCACATATGACTACTTATTCATGTGTGCTATCCTACATATGGTATGCTCTCATAACAACTGACATCAGCATACATATGAATACTTATTCATGAGTGCTATCCTGTATATGGTATGCTATAACAACAACTGACATCAGTGCACATATGACTACTTATTCATGAGTGCTATCCTGTATATGGTATGCTATCACAACAACTGACATCAGTGCACACTGGACATTCTGATGCAGGCTCAATTCTCCAATCAAGTAGCCACTTCAAAGTACCTCTGCTGACTGTTCCTACAAAAAGTCAGTTATAATGCCTCCTATCTTGAACTCAAAGGCAGAACAGATGCGCTTGGCCAGGTTTTACTCCCAGGTGCTGTAATCAGGTTAAAGTCAGAGGCTTGTCATTACCCTCCAGCCCAGCCTGTACAGTACTGACTATATCAGTTCTGTCCATCTTTCTTCAGCAACTTCTTCCCACAAGTTTTGGTGCATAACCTGCCAGTTGGGCCACTCACTCATTATGATTTTATCCAGATGTGCAGATCCAGGTTAGAGTGGTGACTTGTGTCTTTATCCAGTCAAAGAGGACACTACTAGCTGCAAGTTTTCAAAATGTGTTTCTGCCTATAATACTGCTGCATGTGTGGCTGGTTGTTCTGCTGCCCATGCGAGTTCTATGAAGGCAGCAATTATGTCCATTGTTATAGCTGACAGTACACATTTGCCCGGTAAGCACCAATATCTTATTTTATTGTTTTCCTCATCCTTTGTGTGCAGTATGTCCATGCTGACCTTTGCCTATGCTTCACTTTGTGTGCAGTATGTCCATGCTGACCTTTGCCTATGCTTCACTTTGTGTGCAGTATGTCCATGCTGACCTTTGCCTATGCTTCACTTTGTGTGCAGTATGTCCATGCTGACCTTTGCCTATGCTTCACTTTGTGTGCAGTATGTCCATGCTGACCTTTGCCTATGCTTCACTTTGTGTGCAGTATGTCCATGCTGACTTTTGCCTATGCTTCACTTTGTGTGCAGTATGTCCATGCTGACCTTTGCCTATGCTTCACTTTGTGTGCAGTATGTCCATGCTGACCTTTGCCTATGCTTCACAAACCCATTCGTGTAGAGTATGATGTCTTCTAGACATGCATGCTGATCAATCATGGCTCTCAGCATCTATGGCTATGGGGATATGGCTCCAGCAATACCTCCCTAGATGGCAACCTTAGGATAGGTAAATGTGCCTAGAGATGATTCAGTCTATTTTTCTCAGTGTCTTGAGCTCATCCAGATCACAAACCTGTTGGATTAAATCTTCCAGCCTGGCAATCCAAGAGCTGCCTCGTTTTGGATTCATGTTTTTTGTGTGTCACTGATTGCGCTGTGAAGTGGCTGATTCATGTATGTTGATACTGTTACATATGCCTTGACCTGTATAACTTTGCTTCTGTTGGACAGCACTGGTAAACATAGGATATATGTCTTTTGTGCAGCTGAGTATGAGTCTCATTCAATCACTTTGTACCCAGCCCAAATCTGTTTAGCTTGGTTCTGCTGACAGTGAAGAAGGCCAAGAGTCTTTGACACCCAACAAAAATGTCCTGACAAAGATGGAAAAGTTTATGACAGCTGCCTTATTGTCTGCATTTGGCCTTTACACAATCTCTTACTGCCAGAAATAAAATTATCCCTAAAGTGTTAATGATTTCAGACTATTCAATAGATCATGGAAGATTTGCTTTAAGATATGCATGCTATACCAGCACAGTACTGGCACTATTACCTGCAGAACGCAGAAATATATGATGGAGGGGGAGGACTGAGAACCCATGGACGTATTGGGAGTGCTGTGAAGATAACAGAACTCATAAAAACAATTCTATGAAACAACAAGTTTACAGTCTCATAACATTTTAGCTGTTTCCTGAAGAAGTAAACTAACTCCCAATAGATGTTTGTCCATCACAGATGATGATGACCAGTCCTCTCATCCACTGGTGACTGGATTAGGTTTTGTGAGTGCGCAGATGGCTGAAAGGCCAATTCTAGCACTAAAGTTCTTAAGCAATATGGACAGGGAATTGAGACCCCATTTCTCTGTTGATTTGCTTCAGTGTCTTTTCTGGCTTGTCTTTTCTGAATTGCTGCTGCAGTTGGAGCAGCTTCATGAGCAACAGCTACTCAATGAAGAGAGGAGAACCATGATGAGTTGTCACATGCAGTGACTTCCCAGATTTTAGGATCAATACAGAAGTCTTTCAGTTGGGTCTTGAGGTTGTTCTTGAAATGTTTCTTCTGTCCACCTTGAAAGCATTGTCCTGTTTGTAGCTCAGCTTAGAAAATTCATTTAGCAGTCAGTGGTCAGGCATGTGGACAATATGTCCTGCCCAGCCAAACTGTAATTGTTTTAGAATCGACTGAATACTGAGCAGTGCAGATCTGTCAAGGACTTCAGTGTCTGGGTTCCTGTCTTGCCATTTTATGTTCAGCAACTTTCTGGGGCATACTGTGCAGGAAATGGTTCAGCTTCTTAGCATGGCTCTGATGAACGGTTCATGTTTCACATCCATAGAGAAGTACAGGAAGTACGACAGCTTTGTACACTTTGAGCTTCATCTGCAGGTTTGATGCCAGCTCTGTTCCAGACTTTTGTTCCAAGTCTACCAAATGCAGTCGGCATCTGTGGCTTAGGTGTTGCGAAAGCGCTTTGTAATACCGGGTTCGATCCCAGCTGGGGACGATATATCTTGCGTTGGTTTTGACAGAGAAATTGATAGCTGCCAGTTAGGAAAGCAATGGCAAACTATTTAACATAAAAATTTGACTAGAAAAACAACAACAGCAACAACAAAAAATGCTGGGTTTGGTTATGCAAAGTCCTGTAAAGGATATGCAACTAACTTCAACTACCAAATGCGCTGCTGGCTATGGATATTCTTGTATTGATCTCTAGATCGATGTTAACTTTCTAAATGAGTTAGTTGCCAAGATATGTACACCTGTCTACTGTCTTTAGTGCTCTGCCCTCGACTGTGATGTTTGGTTCAGGTAGACTTGTTCCTGGAGCTGGCTGCAACATTATTTCAGTTTTGTCAGTGCTTATGACAAGCCAAAAGTCTGTCCAGGCTTCAGATAAGTCACAATAGGTATAAAGAGATTCAATAATTTGATAGGATACAAGATAAGACAATTCCACCATATAGGTTGATCAAATACAAGGAAGCTTAAGTATTCTACCTCCTCTTCCTATCAGAATAAATTTCAAATCACTGCAAAAAAAGAATCTATGTGAGCCTTCTTGCAGCAATTCATTTGTACAATTATGCACGACCAATAAATAATTTCAAGAGAAATTTACATCATCATCAGGTGCCTTGCCGACTGGCATGGGCGATCATGCCTCTCCACAATCTGCGATCTATTGCAGCTTGTATCATGAAATTTACATGCAATTTTTAAAAGTGAAAATACACTTTGTGATTTAGTAAAATTTTTCTTTATAAAAGGTTTCAAAACTAGAGCCAAAGAATAACAAGTGCAGTATTTTAAATGAAAAATTAATATGATGATGTTTATACATTTAATTTTTTTTATCTGCTACTCAATTTCATTTTGGAACAGCCCTCGTATAATACTGATGAATCGTTATATGGTTCAGATATAGCAAGGAGGTTTTGCTACATTAACACATAAAGTAGCACATTGAACTAAAACAATAAACAGCATCATCAGACTTACCGATGACTGAACTTCAAGCCAAAATCTTTTTTAACAACGTTGGTTTTTGTAATTGCAGCCCCTGATTTTTGTCCATTATAGCAAGCCCAGTCATTTCCACGAATATCATGTGACCAGCCACCGATGATTTTATCACAGAAACTCGAACTACCAACATACTTTGAGAATCCAAAATATTTCCTTCCTGCAATCACAACTTCAAACCCCTGAAACAAATTTTGTGACGTTTTAAAGTATTGATACTGTGGATTCCTCTCTAAAACCAAGGAATGAATCAAAATAAAACAAATCCAGTACAAACTGCAAATACGTGTATGTTCCTTATGTGTTAAAATCACATGATTATTTATTATGTATAATAATACTGTAATAAATTTAAACTTCATTAAAACAGTGCACAAATAAATATGCAACAGAGGCCACTCAACTGCTACATTGATCTATAGATTCATACTATGGTGTAGCCACCAGAATTTTGTGAGGGATTGTTCTGCAAACTATTTCATTTCAAACCTTCTCTGTGCAGTCAAGATCCTCCAGTTAAGTGTTATCCACCCATTATGCCCGCATTTCTTACAAATTTTATCACCCAGTCAACAGATACATCAAATAACAAGGAAGATCGAATACATGGCTATTTCAACTACAAACCAATCATTTATACCATCATGACATTCTAAGCTTTAATGTTGATTATCTCCCTTGGTATACAATAACATTCCATTTCTTCCCACAATTATGTTCTGTGTAAGCTATTAAAATCCTTCTTACAGTTCAAAATAAGGATTTGTTTTTCAACAAAATCTTCTCAAATAAGTCAGGGTAATTATTCTATCAAAGCAGATTCTTACAGGGAAAAAAAAAAAACACCCCAGTTTATAGGTCTATCTCAAAATTGTGTTCATTGCCATTTTAATTATAATTAGAATGTTTTTACAAAACATCTTGGACATAACAGTGCAACTCTGCCCCAGTGAGATTATCTTTGAATAAAAAAAAAATGATTCCTTTCTTCCACAGATATGGGATTTTGGTTAGCTCCGCCCACATTCACAGATCTTTCACTCAGTTTTTGGTGACATCATCTGAGGCCTTAAACATTTTTGTTCAATGGTAAAACAATAAAACAGAATTTCATTTGTTTCTATTTTCACAAAATTTAGATACAATTTTAATTATAAATATAGTAACTGTGTTCATTACCTGGTTGTATATCAGCGTCCAAAATCCTCTGTTGTTAAATTCATCAATGGCAATGTCAGGGTAAATGAGACTGATCTTTATTGTATTTTTAGCTGTGGGGACAATTTTATAATGCTGCAAATGTAGTCATGTAAAAGATTTTTTTTAAAAAAGATAAAAATTACTTCACTCCTAATATTTAAAGCAGTTTCAATCATACAACTGTATCCAGTGTGACACCGGATAGTAGTTATCTTGCATTCACATTTGGATGCCCTCAGTCTGGGGACATAAGCCTCAGAGCCATGCAATATCACCTGAACTATGACAGGGTTCTGCGATTTTATAAATGCTATCTTCAATGTGTATATAAGCAAGATTGCAGAACTCAGTCGAGTGAGAGGCAACAGACAGCTCAAAAGCGAGAGGCAACAGCAAACTGCATACAGAGATGGATGATATCATCAAACCAGCAATGGGGGCTGTTTTATAGTTCTCCCTGAACAAAAAGATTGAAAAAGCTGATGTCCCAAGCCTAACAATTATTTTTCTTTAATATCAAAACAGAAAGCATACCAAAGTACCTGGGTCTCACTTTCAATAGAAGCCTGCCCTTCAGGAAAGCTATAGAGGCAGCTGTAGCAGGATGCAAAAAGGGACTGAGTGGGCTCAAGAATATAACAGCCATAAACAGGGAACCAACTTTTTTTATCATTAACTCTTAAAGTCCCTACTTAAAACTAGTCAGCTGGTGGCAATTGTTTTTAACGTTAACTATTAGATCATTTCGCCTGAAATCTGCACTTTTGTGTAATCTATATGTCCGCCTCATCAATCTGCATCATATGGTAAACACCTTGCAAGGTTCATTGGCAGAAAACTATTATTGTATACGGTGGCCCAGTGATTTCGACCCTACATTGTCCTGGAAATCAGAATCTATCTTTTGCCAGATTACATAAAATGTTTAACACTATAATGTGTCTATGGTGGTATCCGCCACTAACATCTTAATATCTTCGCGTAGAACTGACAGACTTCACTGAGGCATAGCTGGATTGGATATTTACATTTTTATCCAGCTGTGATAGAAAAAACCCAGTATATAAAACTTCACTATTGACAGTCTTGCTCTTCTCAGTACTACTGCAGTAGCAATCCTAACATCCCAAATTTGAAATCCTAACAGATAACCCATATTTGTTCTTCTTCTTCTTCTCTTCCACCTTTATACCTCATCGAAGTGTTGTGGGAGATGTAATGTTCGTTGATGAGCTCTGTCAAGAGCACTATTACAAGAGCACTGATGTTCATTTCTGTAAGGCTGTTCTTAATGCCATCACTCCATCTTTTCCGAGGTCTTCCACTCGCTCTATACCTGTAGTAACGTTTTAGTAGGGCTCGCTGTGGTGGATAGTACCAGGGCATTCTTGTTAGGTGTCCAAACCACTTCATTTGTTGTTTTTTGATGACCTGTATGACTGGCTTTATTCCTAGCATTCGTCTGATTTCATGATTTCGTATTCTCTCTTTCCTTGAAACTCCTGCAGCTATTCTAAGGCTTTTCATCTCTGTTGTCACAATTTTACGTTCATTTTTTTTTTAACAGGACATTAATGCATATTATATATGATTGTAAAATAACTGGGTAACAGCACTACTTACTGGAAAACGTCTCACTACAGTTCACATTTCGGTTCTTGTTGCCTGCGCTCAGATGAAACACCCATGAGCCTGCAATGTCCTCGTAGGTGCAGTTTGCCGGAGTGTCTCCCAACACTGAAGACAGAGATATTAGGATGCCGACAGTCACGAATTTCAGTTTCATCAGCAGCATGTTTGCCCGCTTTACAAACTATTCTTCAATTGTAAGTTTATTTAGACTGACGAATTAACTATCACAACTTTCAAGATCATGAATATGCCGCCTAGCAAAGCTGTGGTTTTTTAATATAAGAATGGGGGGCGTGTACTTATCATGTCATGTGGCCATCATGTGACAAACTAGAGGAAATCGTGCGGGTTTTATCGTACTAAAATTGCATCGACCCCAATCTTCGTCGAGTTGAGTTGAGTCAAGAATTGATATAACAGCACTCGTGGCGTTCCCATAAGCGCTCCGTCCTCATCCTCAGCAAGCAGCCAGGGCAGAGTTCCAATACGCATGGTTCCGGTAGTAGTCTGGTTGTATATCCGTCTTGCCTTACCTCTGAGCGTAGTGCCCCGGCCGACCCCTAGGGTCACACCCAGGTGCATCATTTTCTTCAGCCCATAATAATATTGTTTCTTTTTTGACTTCGTTACTTGTTCCCAAAGGGCTCTGATCACATCTGCTTTGTCATATATCAATTCACCACCCAGCGGTGCAGATCTAGCCAGTCTGTCCGCCTGTTTATTTCCTATCACACCACCATTGCCTTGAGAAAAGATCTTAACTATGCTCACTACCCATGACCTTGCAAGTGAAGCTTGCCACTCTGCTCGAAGCAATCCTGTATTTACCTTTTTCAGCATGCTTTCATAGTTCGTTAAAATTATGACATGTGTATGTATCCTGTTCTCTAGCCACTGGAAAGCTGCAGTGACCGCCTCCGCCTCCATTCTCAAATACCAGGGTGTCCTGCACTAAAGATTTTCTATTGGCTTTCGCTACGAGACAACAGGCACTTTTCTTCCCTCTCAATGCAGAATCATCTGTGTAGATAATGATATCACCAAGACGAGATAAATCAACTGTTGGACTTCCACCTCTGTAGCCCCCTCTGGCCATCCTCTGCACTCCGGGCCTAATGTGATCATGACTCTACATAGGTCAGACTTTTCCTCTGGTACTTTGACCCACTTTTCTCCTCGTCCAATGTTCTTCAGTAAGCATACTTATTTTATTGTGTCTTCTGCTTGAGACATTCGTGATTTCCCCCCTTTCAGCCTCTGACCCTTGCCTGCAGCCAAAGCTTCTTACAGAGGGTGCTCCCTGTCTGCAGCTACTCTGAGGTATGACTTAGCCTGTTGTTCCTTTAGCCTATCTGCAATATTCGGCAATGCAAGGATATATCGCATACACCCAATCGGGGTGTATCTTGTACATCTCAGGATCACCCGAACAGTTTCATTCTTTATGGGCTCCAGTTTCACCTTCGTCAAATTAAAATCAGCTGTGGGCGTCTGTAGCTTGGTCGTTGCGAAGGCGATTTGTTATCCTCAGATCCCTGGTTCGATTCCAGCTGTGGACGATTTGGCATCAGACCGCCCAAAGACATTCGATTTCTGTTAAGTCCCAATTAGCCTCCCCGCGACGCTTCTCGATATAAAACTATTCGGCGATGACAGAAACTGTTAACTAAGACGGCTTACAGTCCAGTTTAGTTTAAGTGGACACGGATGCCAAGGTCAGTTAAAAATCGTTCCTTCGGAGAAGGAGAGATGACGGGTGGGGGGTATTTTTCTCCACTCTTCGTGAGTATAGTGTACATTTTACTGTGGGTTCTATCACTGGTTACGTGATGAAGTTGTTTTTTTTTTTCTATGTCGAGGGCAAAATTAAACTAAATAGCCCGTGGCGACAGCATGCGGCGCTAACTCCTCTTTTCTACACCGACCTAAACAGACTTTAGTGATAGTTTTTGTTGTTGTTGTGATGGTGGTGGTAGTAGTGGTTGCAGTAGTACTGGTACTGGATGGGTGATGTGGTAGCTGTTACACTAGAAAAATTTACTTCTCAGTACAGATTAATGCTACCTATTTAAGTCTGGGTGGACACGAAGGCCAAGCTTAATTTAGTTACAATATTTCGTCACATGGTGACTTACCCATACTTCGGAGAGGATGATATAGGGGGGGGGGAGGGAGGGGTTATGCCAGACACAGTTAGCTGAGAGAGCTCAAAATAATATTTTAAGGTTCTCATTTCTTAACTATTTCTATTTTAATAATTTCGCCATGGATTTTTTTTCAATCCTTCGGAGAGGGAGATATGACTTCGCCAGGTGATGATTTTTCAATCTTTTGGAGAGGGAGATATGATTGGGGGGGGGGGGGTTATGCAGAGACAGTTAGCTGATAGAGCTTAAAATATTATTTTAATGTTCTCATTTTTTAACTATTTCTATTTTAATAATTTTGCCAGGTGATGATTTTTCAATCCTACGGAGAGGGAGATATGATTGGTGGAAAGAGGGGGGGGGGATAGGACAGACACTGTTAGCTGAGAGCTATTTTCTTTCCTCTCCACTTCCCCATTCTGGACCACAGTAACGCGTGGCTGGGTACAGCTAGTCTGTATATATAATCAGATCACCTGGGTGTAAATTGTCGTGAATCAACTGCTGGACTTCAACCTCGCCTTCAGAATGTACACTAACTTAATTACTTTAATTTTCAGACTATGCGTCGTGCAGGGTGGCACGTATCACTTCAGAGGTCACGGCCAGTTAGCATCTTCTAGATATTTTCGCCAGATCATGCCGGTGTTCAGGGGAAAGAGCAGCCAGATATACAGAAATAAAGAAAAGCGGCAGTTATATATGAGGTATACATTTGAGATATACAACAGTTGCAGCATGTTTAAAAGCATCAGTCTTTCTTCAAGTCTGTAGTAATGCGCTTTTGAGGTATTTTTACCTGCCTGATCACTCCCAATCCAAGGCACATTACACATCATGGCTGCATTTTATAATCAAGTTAAAATGCTGACTAAATTGCTGGTTATATGAGCTTTATGTGTGACATCTGCAACCATTGTAGCATTTTATTTTTGATGCAACTGTCATCATTTTGAGTTGACATGATTATAAGTTTGAAACATGTTGATGAGACTAGTGGCAGCCTCTGGTGAGTTCAGCCATCAGGCCAAAGTATCTGAAAATGTTTAGTAATGAGGTTAGTGTACGTACTAAAGTACAACTATTACATGGGTTATGTTTTGTCTTTATCTCCAACCACTGCAACTGCGGTGAGTACCTGGCCACTTGTGTCTAGAAAACAAAACAGCCCTGGGTACAGTGATACTTTAACAATAGACTGGTATCACTTATCACATCCTTCCTTCAACGTATGACAATCCAGCATCTACCTTTCAAATATTTCAACACACATTAATGCAACAACCTTCAGTACTGATAAATGAACAACACACAAACAGTACATGTATGTATGTATGAAAGTTGCACCCAACAAGGACATCCACAAAGCGATAAACACCCGATGACACAAGGTGCAACCATGCGGATGAGGATCACCCGTGGAGAGGTCCCAGAAACCCTAATAAGCCCGTAGGCCATATTTCGGACGGTATTGTCAAACAGTACATACACACAGAGAGCAGGTAATCCATATACACAGTAGCAATGCTAATGTTATTAATTTTTTTTAACACATTACATTTTTATGGCATAAAATTATAGTTACTGTAAGTGGGATAGATAGTATCCAAAATATTCAACATATATCTCTGTTAAAATGTTGACAAACAAGTCGTGTAGCATTGGTAATCATGTCTATCCACAACCTACTGTCTCGTGTACTTTCAAACAGCTGTGACACCGATGATCCTCCATCCCACGATATCAAACTCTCCGGCATCTTCTTGTTCGGTCTCCCTCGGCCTCTCTTCCTCTTCTTATCTATTGTCCCGATGCAAGCTACTCCAGCTTGCTTCTTCTCATGACATGACTAAAGGATGTAGATTGTCTCTTTTAGTGTGAGCAATCAGTTTTCTTCTTCTCATGACATGACTAAAGAATGTAGATTGTCTCTTTTAGTGTGGGCAATCACTTTTCTTCTTCTCATGACATGACTAAAGAATGTAGATTGTCTCTTTTAGTGTGGACAATCAGTTTTCTTCTTCTCATGACATGACTAAAGAATGTAGATTGTCTCTTTTAGTGTGGGCAATCACCTTTCTTCTTCTCATGACATGACTAAAGGATGTAAATTGTCTCTTTTAGTGTGGGCAATCACTTTTCTTCTTCTCATGACATGACTAAAGGATGTAGATTGTCTCTTTTAGTGTGGACAATCAGTTTTCTTTTTCTCATGACATGACTAAAGAATGTAGATTGTCTCTTTTAGTGTGGACAATCAGCTTTCTTCTTCTCATGACATGACTAAAGAATGTAGATTGTCTCTTTTAGTGTGGACAATCAGTTTTCTTCTTCTCATGACATGACTAAAGAATGTAGATTGTCTCTTTTAGTGTGGACAATCAGCTTTCTTCTTCTCATGACATGACTAAAGAATGTAGATTGTCTCTTTTAGTGTGGACAATCAGCTTTCTTCTTCTCATGACATGACTAAAGAATGTAGATTGTCTCTTTTAGTGTGGACAATCAGTTTTCTTCTTCTCATGACATGACTAAAGAATGTAGATTGTCTCTTTAAGTGTGGGCAATCAGTTTTCTTCTTCTCATGACATGACTAAAGAATGTAGATTGTCTCTTTTTTTAGTGTGGGCAATCACTTTTCTTCTTCTCAGGACATGACTAAAGGATGTAGATTGTCTCTTTTAGTGTGGGCAATCAGTTTTCTTCTTCTCATGACATGACTAAAGAATGTAGATTGTCTCTTTTAGTGTGGACAATCAGCTTTCTTCTTCTCATGACATGACTAAAGAATGTAGATTGTCTCTTTTAGTGTGGACAATCAGCTTTCTTTTTCTCATGACATGACTAAAGAATGTAGATTGTCTCTTTTAGTGTGGGCAATCACTTTTCTTCTTCTCATGACATGACTAAAGAATGTAGATTGTCTCTTTTAGTGTGGGCAATCAGTTTTCTGAGACAGATTATTAATTGCATATTCATTCCAACATTAAGCTATCAGTGCCAAACATGGACACTA